CCTGGTGGGGAAACTACTTCCCACCAGTTAGCAAAAGGCAGGACAAGCTCTCCCAGTGACCTTGGGACTGGATATTCCACAGTGCACCAACAGTATCCCCCCAGCTGCCCTTGGCTCCTCCTCCATCACAGCCTGGAGAGGTGGCTGCACACGCCACTTTACCCACATCCCCTGATGAGCAGCTCCCTGGTTTACCTGGTACCCCAAAACCAGGGAGGAGCAACAGGAAAATCACCCCCACTTTTATTTCTTCAAATTCAAGATAAGAGCAAATAGTCATCAGAAACATAACCAAAAGTTTGCAATAGAAAGTAAACCTCAGTTCTAGGTTTTAGTATCTTCTCTCAGTTGTTCTCTTGCACTTCATCACTGGTCAATTCCTTTGAGACATACAATCATCCTACTTAAAATACAACTTAATTGAAAAACAAACTGTGATTTTAAAGTCAGCAATTAAAAAAAAAAAAAAGCGTAAAGGAAAACCAGTCCACTCTGCCCCAGCCAAGCTGAGAATGTCCCTTGAAATCTCTGTGATGTGCTGGAAAAAAAACTTAAGTGACAAAACAGATCTTCCACTGCAGATTTTGAAGTCTTTTTGCACTTGATTCCACTGCAGAGAATTTGTACAGCTTTGTCAACCTCAGAAAGAGGTGCCTTTTTTGTATGTACCCTTTCAAGTGAGGCAAGGCAAGGAGAGCACTTCACTGCTTATGTTCACTTTGAGACAGACAGCTCGAAGACTGAGGATTATCAAAACCCCTTACTCGTGCCTTCAAATATTCTGAAATCCCACAAGCTTGACAGCATTTTCAATTTTGTATTGACAGCAGCAGTCAGACAAAAATAATTTGAGGAGTAAATCAAGGAGAACCCCCACCTCTTTAATCCACAGTCACACAAATCCATACTGCCTGCAGAATGGCAAGTGCTTTGGAGCCTCTTTTAATAGCAATATGTTAACATCCTTGTTTGTCTTTCCTGAAGCTTGCAAGGCACCCCTTCCTCCCCCCCAGTCTGGTCTTTTTGACATAATTTGTACCAGAGCTGCTCATAACTCACTCCTATCGACAGCCTGTGACACGGATGAAATCTCGGCAGAGCGCTGGCTGTGACAGCACTCACTGAACTGTTATCAATATCAAGGTCACTTTGTTTTTCTTGCTCTTGCTGGAGCTCATCTGCCCTGAGGGCACAGGCTGCCCAAGAAAGCTTTCTGTCTAAGCTGCTCACAAGTCACAGCCTCTCTGCTCCATTACTGGCGTTACATAAGATTAGAGTGAAGTTTCTACTATTAGAAGCAGTTAGCTGCGTGGTGATTTTGTGCTCTCCTGATATAGCATATAGCACAGTTATGGCTGCTGGCAGCAGAACTTAGAACTACAGCTATTTTTAGTTCAGGGAGAAGCATGAGTGTAGTCAAGATGTGTCACAAAAACCAGTATTTTTTCAGGGGGAAGTGGGGGTAGTGTGGGGTGTAATTCCTACCTGTGGTACCCTGGACAAGAGGGCCCCAAAAGGGAATTATCGTCATCCTAGGCTTGACAGATACTCACCAACGAGTCGGAAATCATGGTAGGAGCCTGTGGAGGGCAGCGCTGTCTTGCTGGGGATGGTGCATTGAATAGCTCAGAAATACCAGCTGCTAAGGTAATACTTTTTTTCTATCTCCTTTGAATCTGAAAGCTGCAGATGTAAAAGCTGTCGCCCTGCTACAGCCATGGCCTGTCACTGCACGGAGGACTTCCCAGTTTTCCACCCACTGCCCCCATTTTTCAAGCATGCTTTCCTGCAGCTTTAGCCCTGAGCCCTGTGCCTAAGCTTTGTGGCTCTTAAATGGGGCAGTTTGAGGGTTGGGGAGGTAGGGTGGGAGTCGGGGGCTGGAGGCAGCACAGAGGTTCTCTCCCATTAGAAAGATAGGGTCTTGGGAAAATATGTGCAGATCCGTTACATTGCAAAGGAAAGGAAAGGAAAGGCTCTCCGGGAGCACTCCCATGAGCTGCAATAACATCTTCTCCCCCCACCTGGGACCTGCCTCACCATCACCGGCTCTCCCGGCTATCTGAACCCCCGGCTGAGGCTGGTTACCCTCACCTGCCCTGCCCTCTGACTGCTTCCATTCCTGGAACAGCCTCTCATGTTCCTGCCATCCCTAGATGCATGCAGCTCCCGTGGGGCAGCAGCAGGCTGCCTCTGCCCTGCAGCAGCTCCTCCAGCTCCACGGGCAGCCCTGCGTAGGGATTGTAGAGCTCACGGTGGAAGGATTCTTTAGCTCTCCAGCCCAGCTCAGGCTCCTTGCAAGCAGAAGTTGGTACCTTGCAGCTCAGTTTGGAGGAGTCAGAGGGCCCCATCATGAATGTACAAGGCCGGATGTGAAGAGAGGTGTCAGGAGGGAGACCAAGCAGTGAAGAGGTGTGAGGGCTCAGATTTTCTCTCACCCAGTAAAACACGGCTGCCAGCATAGGGCAAGGGGCATCTGCGAGCTGAGCTGAGGGGGTAGCCACAGAGGAGGCGTGCAGGGCTGCTCCCGCTCCTCCTCGACATTGCGGTTAAAGAGAGGGCTGTGTTTTCCAGAGCCCTCGATCTGGCATCTTTCCCGGGTAGTAAATTCTCTTAAAACCCGAACCAAACAGAGCTTTAATTGTACATTCTGCTTTTCTCTTCACTCTGGAATAATGGCAATGGCATTAATACAGTGCTGCATTGAACATGCACCCGCACTGAGGCCGAGGGACTGATTCTGCTTTCCATTATTCAGGGGCTCTGCCTCTGGTGAGGCAGATCAGGGTTTAAACAGCAAGCAGGAGCAATGAACTTCTACTGTTCCCTGCTGTTTGAGTGTGGGCAAAATAAAAGGCCATAATATATGATGCAGTCAGCCAAGAAAGCAATATTGCTCTGCCATGTTCACAGTCTACACTGAGACAAGTCCAGGATCTCATTTCTGAATTCCCATAGGTGCCTCATTTAAACCATCAGCCATAACCTGCTTCTCATTTTCAATACCACTTGGTATTAGAGCTGCAGTGAACTGCTGGTGAGAGATTCTAATTCCTGCAAACAAGCCCCTGTAGGCTTGCAAGGAAAACAGAGAGTTCCCCTCTCGGTTGCCTGCTAGGTTCCCATCTGGCTGTTTTAACTTTGCTATTGCTTTTAAATGTGCCTGTTTCTGCACATGAGGCTTTCAGCTCTACCTCAGGAGACTCCTGGGTTCTCTTAGCATCGAATTCTGACCAAAATGTAGAGACATGGATTGGGTCTTCTTAATAAAAAGGAAGATCAGATTTCACATTACAGTATCTGAAAGATTAATTCCACTTACATATCATTTCCCTGTGAACCACACTTCTTTCCATCTGGATTTTTCCATCAGGAGGACAAAGAGGCATAGTGTTAAGCACTACCTGGGAGAAAAGAGCAAGGAGTGTAGAAGATAAATGCAGAGACGCTTGCTGAGTGAAAAGAGAAGAAAAACAGAGTAGATAGCAATTTCAAATGCATCGAGAGGCGGCTGCTACTTTTTTCTTTCTTTATTTTTCCACATTAATTATATTTTGATCTCATGCTTTGCTGTTTTGAACCATTTAGTTTGTCAGGTTTTGATTCGGGAAATTTAGGGTGTCTGACTGCAGGAGCTTTCTGTATCATGTTATTGTTAGCTGTTGTCTGTGTTATTGTAGTAACCACAGGTCCAGCCAAAATTAGTGCCCTGCTGTGCCCAAGGCCATCAATAATCTCATGTAAGACCTTGTTATTGAAAGATGCCTGTCCCTATCCAAGCTATCATTAGAATCACAAGGAGAGCTGTGCCAGCTAGGAAAAGGGATAGAGGAAAGATGACTTGGGGCCTAACTAATGCCCTGCCACTGTCTCCTCTTCAGACAGTCATTAACCTCTCTATAGCCCAGTTCAGTCTTCAGCCGACAAGGTAGCAAGCACAGCAAAATGGTGAGAGGCTTTGCACCTGATACAGAAGTTAAACTTAGGTGGCTGCTCAGTTATTTTGTGTTCATTTTCAGTTAAACAAAACATGTTTTTCTCAACCAGGAACAAGCCACTTTATCTTGTTTTAATATTTTAATAGATTTTACACAATGCTGAAGTAAAATTCCAAAACAGAAGTAACTTTGACTAGAAAACCAGAAATGGTCATTTTTATTGAACTATTTTCAAACCTACAATACTGGAGTGTTTGCTTTTTTCACAGAACTTTGCTGAGTTTTCTTTCACTGGAATCTGCAAATGCAACACAAATCTGTTAAATGCTTTAGCCAGTTGAAGTCAGTGGGGGTTGTGTGGTTGCTTCTTTTCTTCGCCAGAAAAATATTCAGTAGAAAACAGCAATTGTTTCCAGTGTAGGAAAAAAAGCCTTGCAGACTGTAGCATTCAAGTGGTGGGTAATAACCAGGAGATACAAAGCTTAACTAGGATGTTGTAGGTGAGGTCCCAGAATGGCACAGCTGCATGCAAACAAGGGTGCAGACTCACCCACAGCCCTACATGCTCCTGCTGCTCAGCAATGCCAGCACCACAGTTGCCTGTGCCTCCAGCCTGGCTCTCATGCCCACCAGGGAAATTCAAGCCCCTATGACTCAGGCTCCACACCTCAGACAGGAGGCTGAGCAGGCCCTGCCCATTTGGGGTGCAGTTTGGAAACTGATGTGTAATGACAGAGCTGTTTTAGAGCTTGTGCTACCTTGTATTCTCCCAGGGAAGCAAAGAGATTAATACATCTGGATTGCCCTTAAAATTCCTATCCAGTCTCAAATGCCTACTATAGGTAGAAGGCTTTATTTTATTGTTTTGTTTCCTGTTGTTTTGTTTTTAACCAGAAAAAAGAAAAAAAAAAAGGAAAGATGGAAAGAAACAATCTAATGAGATGGTCTTTAGGTACTTCCAGGCTACAGTTTAAAATAAAAGTAATCCTATTCAACTTGCATGGCTTAGTTCTCTGCAGAAACATTATTGACCTTGTAATATAGAATTATTCCCCCACTCCCCAGCCCCCCACCCAGTTACAGAGGCTCCTGCCCTCCTGCAGTCACTGGCTCTTTCCAACTAGAGCAGCTTCTGGGAGCCACCCGGAGGGAGAAGCTTAGAGAAATGTAATCAGTGGCAGCACTTTTGCTAGCTTTGCAGTATCTTACAGTGGAAGGCAGGGGGGACGACACTTCTAGCAAAGTCCCTGGCCTTCAATTAAAAATTTCATATTACTTTCCTCATTAGTTCAATCATCTGGTATAGCTATTTCCAAGCTTACCCCAAAGGCCCGGCAGAGCAATTCAATTTCAAAGCCAGTGCAACGCAGGACTGAGCGGTGTGCTTGGGAGGAGCTATGCTTCTTGGTGTTGACATGAGGAGCTCACTTGTCTGGCATTAGTCATGTGAAGCGAATGATGTTGACACACTTTTTGGAAAGAGGACTGCTGAATGAAAGGGAGCTCTGTTGCAAAACACCTCCCTGGCTACAAAGGCTGGAGTTGCCTGCTAAGTTTCACCGGCACCAGAACGACTCAATTCTTGGAGAACCCCCTCAAAGTCGGGTCTCGAACAAAAGGCTTCGCAATGTAATTCTCTCTGCTAAACATCCCTTTCCCTCTCTCTGCTAATCATCTCCATTACTGTAACTAGCTGACAGGCTGCAACAGAAGTTTAAAGAAGCGGGGGCTAGGAGAACTGCAAGTTTAATATCCGTCTGCTTACCTGCACAACCTCAGCCTTTAAACATCTGCAGCAATTGAGAGTCAACCACACTGCTTGAAAATGAGCCTGTGATCTTATGAATCTCCTGATGTAGAAGCTGTATTTATTATCTTTTTCTTGGTTTCCTTTTTCTGCTTCAGCTTAATGTTCTGTGTCAGTGAAAGTACAAACAGGTCATCATGACAATGCTGGCAGTAGCTCTTGAGCACAGTGCATGACTTCTGCTGCAAGGCAGTAAAACTTGTAGGGCAAGGCACAGTACCTTTTCCTGTGCTGCTCTTCATGCTAATCTGTGCTGGGATTGCACAACATACTCTTTTACCACAGCTTTTGGCATTATGTGCCCTGAAAAATTTGTAGGCTTTTACCTATATAGTGCTCTATACTTCCCTGCTGTTCTTTTCCTTCATCATTAAAAGTAAAACCAGTCAGGTTTTTTCCATCTCTCCCATCATTTTTATTGTGCTTTTCATATTTTCCTTATTAAGTAGTTACCCTAGGGAGACTTCCTTTTTACTGGAACATACAAAAAGCTGTAAGTGCTCTTAACATTCCTGGGGAGGAGGAGGGAAAAGGGGGCAGAGGAAGCAAATTTAGGCTGAGGTCACAGAAATATATATGGTGTGTTCAGTAATATGCCTTGCATCATCTCTACTTCTTTTTCCATAAGCAACAAGACATTTTCCCTTGCTCTCTGCCTATTCCCCAAATCAACATATGCTGTTCAAAGTAAGGTACCTGGATGTTTGGAGCAACATCCATCTGGCAGCTGCTGCTGCTGGGCAGGGGTCGGACTAGATGACTTCTGAAGGTCCCATCTGCAGTTCTTTTCTAGAATTGCTGGGAAAATAAAGCCAAACTCTAGATGTAGGCGTTCAGGCGCTACAGTGAAAGTTGATGCCATGTCAGAATAAACTGGCCACCTCGCTTTGGGAAGAGTGCTATTATAGCCTTAATACCAACAAGCAACCAAACAAAGTTTATCAGTATTCTCTGGGGGTGAGAACAGCAACTCAGGATAATGAGAAATGCTCGTAAAGTCTCAGGGAAGGGACCACTTAGATATCATTGAACTCTTGCTCTTGACTGAAGCTCTGCTTTAGGCTGGACTGACTAGTCCGAGCTTCCTGGATCTAAACCAACAAACAACATTGCAAAAGGGATACTCATCTTCTACTGCATGATCTGTATGGGAACAAAGCTGTATGGGGTCCTAGATGGGATTCTCAACAGGGCAACAAAGCCAGAACTTTCAGCTCTATAATTTCCCAGAATTGAGATGCTCTTTTTTCTCACATCCCAGGTAAGGACCATAACCCTCATATGAGAGAAACAGCCTCTCTCTGGAGGCAAACAGCTATCACATTATTTATACAAAGTAGAACAGCTCCCAGAGGAGAGACTGAGACAGACAGATGCAAGCATACCAGTATAGCTGAGTGTTCAGGGGTATTCACCTGAAAGACAGAAAAAACTAGTTCAAGTTTTGTCCAATTTATATATGTGCAGACACATATATAGATATGCATATATACATGTGAAAATCCATTTATATGTACACATGTATGCATATATATGTGTTAAATACACCCCATAAATGAAAGAAAACTGTATGCACATACATTTGATATATGTATATATATACACTATATGAATATATGTCTTACATACACATCATAAGATTTTCACCTTGGCTCTAGGAGCTTTGTAAGTATAAGTCAGTCCAATGGTTCATTCTTTCAAAAACTTCCAGTTTTAACTAATCAGAATCAAGTGTGCACAAATGCTTTGGTAACTCTCCAACATGAAGTATTAGAGCTTTCCTGCACACACTCATCAGCGCTATAGTAACAGAAATAATACCTGCACCTACGAGATACAGCCAGTGCTGCATTTTGGTGGCACAGGATGTTCTTTTTCAACAGCATTACTTGTCAAGAAATTAAATCATATAGTCTGCTGCTGCTGCTGCTTTCTCAGGGGATGAATTGCATGCCTGTAGTCCCACCACAGAGTCAGGCCTGCTCTCTGGATGCTTTTAGCAACACCTGCAGGCCCTGCTACACACACTAGTTAGAATAATGTAATGCTATTTGGAGGGTAATGGGCAGGACTGCTTTCTAGGGAATATTATTTCTGTATGGAAATCTCCTCTTAATTCATTTCAGAAAAGCTGTCTCTGATATAGCCCAAGTGCGTGCAAGAGAGCAGCCAGATGCTTCACACCAGAGACTCTTCATCTCCCACGAGCAGTGCAGGGAGCACTTCCTATGAAACACCAGCGCTATCAGACCTCCAGCGGCTCTTTTGGTTTAGAGGAGGGTCTGATAATCACGTGGACCAAGTCTGGCCGAATGTTTACCTAGGAGATGCGTAAGAACCTATGGTCCTATTGTTGAACTATTATTGGTCCCTGGGAGAGGGAGGAAGGGGTGTGGTACATTGGGGAGCAGCTTTTGGGTCTGCAGGAATGCTTCTGCTATGCAGGCTTCCAAAACTGGTAACAGAAGGAGTTTGTATGTCATGAAAAACATGACATACAAAATGGTGTCATACTCACTGTGTGTCTGAATGGCATCTCAGTTTTCCATATTCTGTGTACTGCAGGGGATTTGGCAGGGTAAGAATTGTTTGTATTCTAGACAAAAGTCTTAAAGAACCCATCTCACATTGGTGTAAAGTCTGAAATGCACTATCTATCTACCCTGGAAACTGTGCTCTAAGACAGCAGATGAGGATAGTAGCCCTTACATTTAAATAGGAGTAGCAGGATCAGCAGCCAGATGGAGGAGAACTTAAAGGAATTATATAATAGGGATTTTTCCAGTTAAAACCCAAACTTTCTTTCAAGGATGGTAAAACTGAAAATACCAAACAGGAATTCTCATGCAAATACCTCATTCTTGCGACAACTGCCATTTATTGCCATTTGTTTCTATTTGGATTGCTGCAGATTACATAGCTCATCAGCTCATTTTTTCCCAGTTCCTCCTCCTCATGAATTCATTAGTTAAGAATCACAGTTTTATGAAATAACTTTAGTCTCATTTCATGTTGGGCAGAGGAGAGAGCCTGGCTGGTAAACATGATGTGATGCAGCCACTTCATTTCTGAACCAGGAATGAGGTGCTGCTGCATCTGTTCTCACCCTTGTGACCCATGCACACTATGAAAGAGAGATCAGAACTTGCTAAACAACTGTTTGCAGGAAAATCTCAACCACTTTATACATTAAGCCATGTTCCCAGGAATTACATGCTGGGAGGCATTTTCTTAACAGTATCCCACTGGCAAGTCCGTGCTCCTGCTTCTCTCCACACCACCATAGCATGTTTTTCAAGTGTGAAGCACTATGGGCTTCTCAAAATCTGCTACTCCGTAAGCAAGATGCAGTTCCTGTATCCTTCCCTAGTGGGAGCAGGCACTAACTTTAAACCATGCTATGTCAGCAGGATGTTAGGAGTGGTGCCAATGAGCTCTTCGCGTCTTTAAACAGGTGGGCTGCTAGGAGCAAAACTACTCTTCAAAGCCTCAACATTACTCATATCCTTAATGCAGCAGATGGGCCATATAACATCAACACAGGAGCCAAATATTACGAAGATCTGCAAATAGAGTACTATGGAATAGAAGCATTTGATGATCCTTCCTTTAATTTAAGTATCTTCTTCTACGATGCTGCCAATTTCATCAGCAAAGCCTTAAACACCACAGGAGGTAAGAGGGAGGCAAAGAAGCTTTGGGAGGAAGTTTCAACACGAGCCAAATGGCATCTCAGTGCAGTAACAGGCAGTCAGCAAAGCTCATATTCAGCCCACAGTTCAAGACTACACGAGCAGAACCACTGCATGCAGGGTGGGAGAAGGGCACCTGTGCCACACACTGCAGAGAAGGTGGCCATAGCCAGGCCCTGGAGAGCTGGGGAAGGCTGGCTGCCTCAAGCCCAGCACGATGGGAGGAAGTGAGAGGCAAAGGCAGAGGTTATGGCACTGTGGGTGCTCCCACTCCTGCCCTATTCCTGCAGGAACTGTCAGGATCCGTGTGCCTTCACATGCACCTCGCACCCTGGCAGGGTCTTCATCCTGGCCCCACATAATGCAGCCCTGCTCTTGCTCCTGATGCACTCAGATGGGAGCAGCGGCACTTCAGTGTTGGTTTAAATGCTTCACATGCTTAAGTGCTTCACAGAATTGGAGCTTTATTCGGGCTGTCTATTAAGCTAGAGAAGCAGCAGCAGTTAATGAACTAAGTCAAAAACTACGAGCCTGACCCAGAGCCTGCTGAATTTTTGTCAGCAGAGTTTGGATTATGGCTTAGTTATCATAATTTCCATTTGTTCCAGAGTTTGCTCCGACTCTGACTGGCTGCGAGATCTGCTGCTTTCACTGGAGTGCTTTATTAAATCCCCAGTTATAGCTCACACTGGGCTGCTGAGATACTGTAAATTATGAGCCCGGTTTTACAGGCAGACTATCCTACAGAGTTTATGGGACTTGTCAGTGATCACGGCCAGGGCTGGGCCAAAATTTTCTGCCAGAACTGTTGTAGATTTTTTTTTCCCACAGAGAACGGCACTAACAAGTTTAGTCACAGAAAGCTTCTCCCTTCCACAGAAAATTCCAGCTATTTTAATCTGAGGCCTAAATTAGATGCATGAGGTCAGTACGAATTGCCTAAAATGTATGGCATGATTTTATGCTAATCCTCCCTGAGTATCCGCTAATTGTCACTGCTGTTTTCCGGTGTTTCTAGTGCTTTTTTTGTCCTCGCTTTAGAAATGCTAAAGACCACTCACCTGCTCTGCCTCTTTTGTTTTGGCAGGTAAGGTGTTTGTTCATTGTGCCATGGGGGTGAGCCGCTCAGCATCTTTAGTGCTTGCGTTCTTAATGATCCATGAAAACATGACAATCGTGGATGCTCTGAAAACAGTGAGTGCTCACAGAGACATCTGCCCAAATTCAGGGTTCCTCAGCCAGCTCCGGGACTTGGACATTAAACTGAACGAAGAGAGGAACGGAACCAGAGCATCTGCTACCAAAGAGCTGTAAGAGAGCATTGCTGAGAGGACAAATGTTACTGGAGTTTCCTGTATTTCTTTTTAATGAATTTCATCTGTAAATTGAGGATGAAACTTTATGATACACCAGAATGCATGTTATTATTGAAAGTAGATTTTACTTGATGTGTCCATTTTGCAAAGCCTTCCAGACTATACTTACGGTTGGTTGTGTACTGCATCCTTCACTCTCCACCTTAAAACATTGCTCTCTGCTGGTTAAAAAAAAAAAAAAAAAAAGAGAGAAAGAAAAAGATATCAGGTTCCACTTCAGAAATAGCTGTGTTTCAGCAACTAGTAAAGCTCATATCATTTTATGAAGTGTTAGGCTATTTGAGGTGAAAGATGCCATATTATTTATGCTATGATAATGCTTAGAAGTTTTCTTCTGAATAAGCCCCCCAACCCTTCTCTCCCCATATCTAAGATGGTTGGTATTTTGAGACTTGAGTCTGGTACTGCTTAGTTCTTGCTTTTACAATTGGTGGAGCCCCCGATTTAGTGGTAAGAGGCTGTTTAAAGGCAGAGCAGCTGGGAAACAACACAAGCCACTCCAAGAAATTATTCTAGGTCTCCCTATAGTCTTTTTCCTTTGACTGTTCATCAGTTTGGATTTGGATTTTTTGGGGTTTTTTGTTCTTTTCTTCTTCCATGAAAATGCCTTTTTTTTGAGAAACCATTCAAATATTGTTCATCTTTCCTGGTAAAAATCATCCAGGAGATGGAGATTATGTGGAAAATGCATCCAAAGACAAAGAAGGTGGGTTCCCAGCTGAGGCTCCAAATAGCTGCATGGGCAGTGGGAGGGGGTGCAGAAAAGCATTTGACAACAAGTTTGAATCTAGCCCAGATTTGTCTGACAGTCCAACATTATAAAACTTGGGATTTTCTTTCCCCAGAATAAAGGTCATTAACATTGCAACATCGTGTTCTGTGGCATTTGCTTTTGGGAGGGGACTCGAGTGAAAACTGAAGGGACACAGAAATGGCAAGGGAGGTGCTGACAGGCATCAGGCTTTCATCTTTGTGTCTCTGGGCCACCATAAAAGCACTCAATAGCTACTGTCATCTGATGGATCAGTGCTGCCTGGAAACTATGTGAAGCACATCTGGCTCTTGGTTCCCAGTGGACAAACACTCCAGCACAAAGCCAACTGAGGGATTGCAGTTGTTTGCATTCCTAGTACCAAATTCAGGAATGCAGAGGCATGAATACTCCCCACCGTGTGAGCTGGCTAGTCAAGAAGAGCACAGCAACAAGGGAAAACATTCCTTGTCATTCCTAGTGCTATGTACAAGGCAAATTTTTACCTCCAGGACAGATGACTTTTATAATGCTTTTTGGCAATATCTACATCTGCCACAGGGGCCAGGCTATAGGAGCGGGAGCACAAGGCAGAGCAGGTGGCACTGAAGACCTAACCCTCACCCCAAGGGTGCATCTCAGAAGGTTTTGCTTTGGACTAACCCTATGGACTGGACATCCCTGAGCAGCAGGAGAGCAGTGCTGGAGCATTTCTTTGCTTTAGTTCCATGCATAAGGAAACCTGCTCATGAGCTCCAAGGGTGGCTCGGCAAGGCCAACAAAACCACAGCAAATAGGAATGGTCAGCTTATGGTATGCTCGAGACCCAAATCAAAACTTAACATATGTGTCTCAGTTACCAATTAATTCTAGGAAACTGATTTCAACTTACAGAACAAGCTGGGGGAAAAAAAACAAGAAACAAAAAACGATGGATGGGGCTATGGATCTGAACCAGCCTTGAGCACAGGAACCCTATCCCATTCCCTTGTGCTTCTCACTATAGGAAAGCTCCCGTTGCCTTTAAGCAGCAGCAGAACTGAGGCCCACCAGGCATTTTCAGCTGTAGGGTGAAGGGCACCGCTGAGGATGCAGTCGCTGTGGGTACAACAGTACGTGCAAATTAAACCCATTTCACGCGATAAAAACGCGGTTTTAAAACACGGGTTGTTGGAAAATCTGCATCTTACTCCGACGGTAACTCACTGTGAACACTGCGCAATAACACACAGAGCGTAATGCCTCACGCTGCGAGGTGACACACGCTGTTCTCCCCTGAAGCCCCGGCGCGGCCCGGCGGCCTCCCCACAGCCCGCGGCACCGCATGTTGCCGCCAGGTGGCGCCGTTGGCACGGCACGGGCGGCGCCCAGGCCGCGGCACCAGCAGTGTGGTGCGGTGCGGTGCGGTGCGGTGCTGCCCAGCGCCACCGGGCCTCAGCCCCGCATCGCCCCGTTTGTTCCGAATGCGGATAAACCCGAGGGAAACGGAACAGTCGTTGCGGGGCGTGCGTCCGAGCCCAGCCCCCCCGCGGCCCCACCGGCATGTGTCAAGAGTAAAACTGCCCCCCCCCCCCGCCCTGGTGCCAGGGGTAACCCCAACCCCGCAGTGATGCATACGGCGTGGTAAGACTTCTCCTGGGAAAACGGGCTGAGAGGGCTGGTTTTGTTCAGCCTGGAGAAGGATGCAGGGAGACCTTATAGCAGCCTTCCCATACCTACAGGAAGCCTACAAGAAATCTGGAGAGGGACTTTTGACAAGGGTAGGTAGGGATAGGACAAGGGGGAATGGCTTTAAACTGAAAGAGGGGAGAGTTAGATTAGATATTAGGAAAAAATTCTTCCCTGCGAAGGTGGTGAGGCACGGGAACGGGGTGCCCAGGGAAGCTGGGGCTGCCCCATCCCTGGAAGTGTTCAAAGCCAGGTTGGATGGGGTGTCTGGGGCAAAACCCAGCTATCCCACTGCCATTCACATCTCTAGTGCAAATCCTAGTACTGCCACCAGCACTGTCATGCCCAGCGTAAAGCAGCAGAGCCCCAGGAGGCCAGGTCAAATCTGCTTACACCACCTGATGATAACTCAGCCTCCTGCTGCTGCTGCCCTCCAGTTGCCTCGCTCTGGCTGCTGCTTGCGGGTTCAGAGAGGGTAGTGGATTACAGTTTATAATTAACACAATTAAAAATAGACTGTGAATAAGCTGAGCACAGAGAAGCTAGAAATCTGGTGTGCAACTGCCACATTAGGAGGAAGCCAAGTGGTATCACTCAAACAAAGGTTATCCAAGACACCGCAGCACAGGAACTTCAACTACCAGGCAAGTACTTTTAGGCTTGTTTACAAACCAACCCTCAGTGAGCTCAATACATGCACTGAGCAGCATGAACTTTACCACAGCCAGCTCTGCAAGCAGTGAGACAACTGCAGGGCTAGGCCAGATTATCGTCTCTGCCGTTGTACTCAGAAACTCCACATTTGTGAAATTCCAGTTTGCTTTCCAGCTGGATTCCCAGGCTGAGGCTCTCCCACTGAAAAACATCTTAAATTCAAGGGTGAGTTTCTTTAAATACCAGTCCTGCTATATTTAAGTTTCTTACAGATCATAGCCATGAAACACTGTACCTGGATTTCCCTCTCAGCTGATGGTCACAAGAGTCATTCCTGGGAAGGGAGAAACTGGCCATCCAGTTACACTGGAGCAAATGTGAAACAGGCTATGAATAAAATGCTGTGCAGCTCAAATACAGAACCTGGGAGAAACAGAAACATGAAGAAGTTTGAGAAGGAGATGGGAGGGGAATTTTTTTGCTCCTTTTTTTTTTTTTTTTAAATACTAACTCTTTATAGTTGGGTTTCTATGGATTATTTATTACTAGGATAGACTTTTCAGACAGAAATGGGATTTTTAATATCAGAGCCTTCCTCATAACATTTTTACTGAGGAAATAATGTTTGTGTGGCTGTGGAAGCCATCAGGATGCTTAAGGTAAAAGAGTACAGAAAGAGAAGACTGGGTTAAATTAATTCCTGCTAAATACCTACTAGCACACTTGCTGTCTATATGGGGAGCTGGAGACAGAATTGTACTAGGGTAAAAAGGATACTGTGTCTATTTATAGCACTGCCTTCAACAGTGTAGGAATTCAAAGGAAAACTCCAACTCAGCACAGTCTTCTTATCATCTTCTTCTGTCAAGATTAAATCAGAGCTGAGATCATTCCCTTCCCATGCAAATCTGTGTTAGGAAGGATCTGTTCCTTTCTGCAAACTAAGGAACTACAATGGTACAAACCACTCCAGAGCTCATATGGTCTGGGAGTCCTCACCCACCTCTTTCCTCTTGTTAGTCAGAGGAGGGGGAGAAAAACAGCCTCCCTGCCTTAGCAGGGAAGACCTAAGGCATTTCACCTGCTATGCATCCCTGCCCCTCTTACCATTGCCAGCCCTTCCCTTACACCAGCTGCTCAGGGGCACTTGTAAATAAAAGAGTATCATCATACCAGCATCCCACCAGTGAGGGGAGGAGGAACAGGGTCTCTGCACACGATCATGGTCACTCATGGTGTTGCCTACTGAGATGAGGCCCTTACCCTATGGGTAAGGGTATGTGCCCTCTTGCCACTGTAGGGCCATCCATCTCTGGGAAGGAGTGGGCTAATAAATAGGTGTGTGTGGCACCTATTTATCAGTAGAAATTATCTCTGATGTTAAGCGTACAAATGAGAGCAGCCTTGGAAAACGTAATAGCAAAAACCTGACCACCTCTCTAAAAATAAGGCAGGCTCCTGGAGTTCCTTATCTCCACTCTCAGCATCATGGTGTCCTAGATCTTTCCTTCTCATCTTCCACCTTTCCATTTCTCTTTAATAAGAGCTGCTCTTACATTCTTCACAAAGCACTATCTACTCTGCTCTCTTGGTATTCCTCTTTTGTAATTCTGTTATCAAGCTGTCTGCTAGGTGGGGAGCAGAAGGTGCAGGACTTGGTACTGCCTTCGAGGGACAGGTAATTATTATGTGCATCTGTTATTGTGGTTGCTGCCTCAACAGGTGGAAAACATGCTGTTCTCTGATGGATTTGCAGCACTCTTTGCTCCTGCCTTGTCTTTTCTCTGAAGCCAGGCGTGTGGTGTTCCTAAAATAATAAACACAGCCTCACTGCTGCCACAAAAATCCCTGGTAAATATATTTTTATGGGAATGAAATATTAAAGGATTTGAACAGTTATTCACTGAAAGCAAAATATGAGCAGTAAGGTTGGGTAAAGATTCAAAGGCTGGTTTGCTTCCTTTCCCTGGGGCACACCAAGGCTGTACTGTTTGCACTTTAGAGATGGATAGAGGGGAATTATTTAACCCAAAATGATGGAAACAATTCAAACTATAATAATATAGCATGAGAGTTTCTCACATTACATCTATTCCCCATACTGCTGGCTATATTCTGCCTTCAGATTCACGTGCACGACTCTCACTGGATTCTGGAGGAACTGTATTTGAAGCCAAAATGCATTTCATTGTCTTTCTGAAGTCTCTCTGTGGTTTACTTGCTAAATCCTGAGCTCAAGGACTGAGGACAAAACTTGTCTAAACATTTCCCAGAGTCTGTCTCTGTGAGATTCCCATCTGCTGTGTTTTATTTTGAATTTCATCTTCCTACTTTCCTGAAAACACAAAGCAGAAACACACATTTCCTCTGCCCTGGAGTGCAGGAATCACCAAATTTCCCAGCAGGTTTTCTCACAACATATGATAGATCCAAGTTTGTCTAAAAACGCTACAAGCCGTTTGTGGAGTAGAAAGGGAGGAGACCATAAACGCGGGCCAAGTTTCGGAGTGTTATGAACACCCCCCATCCTCCAAAGGGACTCCATATCCTGTTTCCTCTCTCCCAGAAATTTCACCTGGCTGTGGGTTTCATTAGGAGAAATACACACTGCTCCAGTCCAGGCTCTAAGTCTTCGGTTTGTGCTTCCTGCTGACACTGCAGAGACTGCGAGAGCCACAAAAGCAGAGTCTGACCTGGGGGCTTCACATTTACTACATAGTAGAGCAAATTAAATGGACAGCACGTTAAGCGGGTTGGGAGATTGTTGTTGACCAACAAATCTTCATTAAGGTCTCACACCAAGCTGTGCTGTACCTCCAATGAAACTGATTACTGTGTCTCCATCCGTGTTTCAACTATTTCTCCACCAGGCCTTAAAGAAATTCAAACTTGCTTTAGGTCTAATTAGAAATAAACCACAATATTAATCCAGCATGCTCCACGCATGCACCCACGTTGGAGGTGCTGGTGTACTATTCAAACAGACCAAGCTCTACTCTGTTTACCACCAGTTATTTACTGCTATGGGTTTTGGTAGCTCTTTTATTTACTGCTAGCATTTCACAGAGACTTTGTTCACTGTTTCATGGGGACCTTCTGGATTACTGGTTTGCACTACCAAAGACAAAATCTGATATCAGTTCCTGGCACTGCGCTCCAGACGTTTCAGCTCAAGAGCCACCAGTGTGAATACCAACAGTTCAAACGACTCACACCTCCCCACAGCAAAGCCTGTGCTTGGCATAACAGCAGCTTTTACAGGATTAGAGCAAAGCCCTTTTCTGATATTCATGACGGAAGGGAGGCTACCACAACTAGGGCTTCCGACAGCCTTCCCCACAGACCACTACTAGAAGCACAGCTCCACAGGTAAAACTCAGGTGCCAAGCTACTCTGCTGTATGGGCTTTAAAAACACTGACCAGTTTATGCCAGAGAGGTTTGAGGAAAAGGTGTAAGGGAAAGCAAGGGGAATTAAACAGCAGTACTGAGTTACATAGCTTTAGCTTCTGCAGTGTACATGCAGAGTAGGGTCTTCTGCCACAGACTGCCCTTGCCCTAAGGTAAGGTAAGAAACATTTATTAGGCATTTATCTTCTAAATATAAGGTAAGAAATAAAAGGTACATGCATGAATGAGGGAGTTAGCCTTCAGTATTATTCTTTGCCAGATAACATTTATGGTGGGTAAACTATATGTTGGGCATGGAGATTGGCTGTACTCCATACCATGTTGTCCTCAGAGTCAGCTAACGCTTGAAGAATACGGATGGGACTCAAACTTTTCTGTAGAAGTGCCAGAGAAGGCACTGATTATTTGAGTTTATGCAGCAGCTTCCCTGGAGCATGCAGATTGTTACTGTTCTGGCACCTGGGTACTGCAAAGCAACCTCCCCTTCACAAATCTGCCTGTTGCAGCCCAGGCAAGACTGAAGAGTGCAACCACAGCAGCTGCCTTCTAATGGAATCTGAATTATCTTTTTGCTAGTGGTTAATTGGTTTCTATGTTCTAGAAGAAAATGTGTTCTTTTTGTACCGGGTGATCTATGACATTTGGGAGCACGTATTTTAAACTGCTAGTTTGTTTTAGAGAAATGGTAAGAGTGAACCTAAAGGACAAATGATTGGAAATGCCTGTAATCCCAAGAGCTGACACAACTGCTGGGAAATTGTGGACCTCAAATCAGCTGTGCTACAGAATATGATGAGTTCCTATTTTTCCCCTCTTCAGCAGGCTTAGTAGTGAGATTTTACAATGAGAAGAAAGCAATCTGCTTAGCTGAACTGGGATTTCATCTCCTTCCGTTGCATCTCTGACTATACACGTCAGCAAGTAAGTCTCAGCTCTGTTCAGTCTCAGTCTGACCTCTGTACTAACTTGATTTATTGTTTTAGTTCTCAAATAGTATATTACACTATACCCCAAAGGGTCTGATTAGAGCTGGCCAGTATTTTAAGGATTTATGAGGGGCATCTGGGATTGTGTAGCATACGTGTTGTGTCACTGCTGTAGGAGGAATCTGCATTGATCATACCAGCATGCTCCAAGACAAGAGCGTGTCAAATTCCAATAAGCTTTACTTCACAAACCTGATTTGACAGGTGGCCAGGCTTGCACTGGGACTGACCATAGTTCTCATGGTGGGAATAAAATAAAACAGCTGGATTGCCTCTAACCATTGCATTATGAGAGGATTTCCATTACTTTCTCTTGTTCTATTTCTATCTTGCAGTGCTTAAGGAGGTGTTTATCCTTCCCGGTTCTGTAGCCAAAAACCTGGGCAACAGGAGCTTGCTATCAGCTCTGTGGTTTATCTTTCTGCCAGAAGATACTGGTGAGAAATACAGGCTACTGAAACTAGTCTTGTAAACCTCTCCAAGTCCTACAATGGCTATCACATTGCTAGAAAGGCTCAGATCAGAGAGGCTGGGATAAGAGAGAGAAAGAAAGATGAAGAAACAATTAGAAAGACTGCAATTGTTTTTAAGCCATAATGTCACTTCATTTAATGAGGGATTGTGCTACTTTTTCTTTTAGGGTATCTCTAAAGAAGGGCTTCGCAAGCACCAAAAGAAAGGTATTAGGAATAGAGCACGGTGATACAGTTTCTGTGTCCTTGGTTTGATTTTGCATGTTCTGAATTCTGTTTTGAGCCCAAAGCCAAAAGCTGCTGAAACATTCCTAGGAAACCTTGTCCCCCATCATGGAAATCCAAACATGACCATGACTTCCACCATGTAACGCAAGCTGCCCTTGACTCACTGGAGGTGGGCACAGCTTTGAACCCAAATTAAATCTGAGGGTGACTCCCTGCCCAGGTTCAGCTATCACTAGCAGCATTTGGCAGCACTCTGCCCCTGGGTTGCCTCCCAGCTCAGACTTGTAGAGAGATATAGCAAAATCACTTACCATTTCCACCTGTGCAGTGGAAACAGAGTGTCTTCCTCACAGGCTCACTGTGATAGCAACTATAAAATGCATTCCAGTGCTCAAGAAACACCATGGAACCGTGGCTGCCTACCTCCTGCTGTTCTCCTGTCTCCTTCCTAGCAGGTTACTCAACCCTCAGGCTATGCAGGCGTAGGGATATGTGTCTGCTTGTCTCCTGTAAGTTGGGTAGCACAGAGCTATCTTTGTGGTGCTGGCAGAGACCCCAGGACACGAACAAAGAACAGTGAAGCTGCCAATGCCCCCAAACAGAATAGACCCCAGAAAAAGCCTTTATATTGTTTTTAAGCTAGAACATACCAGAGCCAGTCACAGGGGAGGAGGGCTTTGTGTTGTGCCATCCTTTTGGTTAAAACCATGGGGCAGAAACCATTCATTTGTGCTGGGATTCTTTGAATTCCGAAGCTTGGTGTTATCAGCACTGTGCTGGAGGACACTGCTACATTAGCTGTTGTTACAGCACCCTCATTCACCTTCAGATGTGGCCTGCTAAATGCTGGTGGGAGCACAGGACACCAGCCTAAGGGACTGCATTACAACAATGGTTCTGAGCAAAGCACAGCACAGGAAATTCCTTGGTCTCTGCTGAAGCAAGAGACAAACATGATTTCTGCCTCAGATCATTTTGAAGGTGACCCGGGAAAATTAGATCAGGCCACACAGAGTAAGCCTGAAGAGTAAAAGCACAGCTGAGGGGCTGGAAACAGCACCTAAGAACGTTTTGCCCTTCTCTCACTAAGCTAGATGCAGAGTGCCCAGCAACCCATCCATGGCTTTCTTGTGTTGTGCTCGGTTGGAACTGCGATGTCTGGATCGACACCCCTTGCAAAGTAGACAGTATGTGAAAGAGTGTAGTAGTAGGGCTTTTTGGCAGCTGCAGTTTCACCCCAAACAGCCACAGAAAGGGAGCAGAGAATGTACCCTGTGGCGTACAGCACGAACAGGCTCTGCTTCCCACACAGCGACAGTGCTGAGGCTGAAATGCATCACCTCAAATGTGAGCCTCCAGTCCACTGGATCTGCTTCAGAGAAATAGACTCAGCACATTTCAGCCAATCTGTGAATAAACCCAAGCTTGTACCTCTCCGCAGGGTCATGCTGTACTAACATCATCCAGTAATGAGAGCACCACACGCTCTCTGCAACTGCAGGCTGCAAATACTGGGAAAGCATTACTAAAAGTCATGAAAAAGCAACTAGGGTTTTTGTTGTTCAGGGAGGGCAAAGGCTTTGGAGTGGCTGTACCAAAACACCAGTGTTGGCCAGACAGCCCAACTGGTTACTGGCACCTCCAATAGGAAATTAAAGGAGCAAACATTACTCCTGATTTACAGCAACCTGCATCAGCTTGCCAGCCTATCTTTCAGAAATGTTTCAGCCTTTGAGTTTTTCAGTAATCTTCTGAAAATTCTGAGGCTGTTTCCAGAAGGAAACACAATTTACCCATTCAAATCATCCTGGCTTTTACCTTGGACAAGTCATTACTGGAGGTAGTAGAGACACAGTGATCCTACAATCCTTGCACCCAGTAGAGATAGCCTTAACACAGAACTGAATTTTAGGCAAGCTTGTCTTCAAGTAGGAGCATAGGGATAGCAAGAGTGTCTCATGAATGTAGCATGTCCAAGAGCTGTTTAGTGCTACAATATGGTAAATGGGGATTCTTGTTGTCTCAAAAGGGAGTGAAAAATATCAGTACTGAATAGAGGAAGGAGTTACAGACTGTCAGAACTGATCATTGGTCAACTATGATGGCTGAAGTACATTGCAGAAGATGACACTAGCAATGATATTTGATGTAAGAGCTGTAGCCTGGCAGGGAGGTAGAGAGATTCTCAAATATGGGCATGCTATTGCAGTAACAAATAGCATGGAGATGTGGTAGATGGACCAGCTTTGACTGTCCTTGAGTCATACTACTGTCTGACTCATATGCAGTGTGTCCGATTCTTTACCAGCTCAGGTTGGGTTAATGGGTGTAAGGATGCACTTGGCAGCTGAGAACACAGGAGTACCAAGCAGCTCCAAAGGGACCGGTTTTGCAGCTGAACTTCTCTTCTCACAGCCAAAAGCCCCCACATCTTTGCTGGGACTAGGGCTGGAGGGGAACCGACTTCCCTTTGCTTGCTTGCCAAGAGGTCCCTTAGAGCTCTGCAGTGCTCTCACTCCAGCAGATGACTTCATGAACACCTACTGTCGGGAGGAACACAGCTCCCTGCACGGCTTTAAATGATTGTGTTTCCCTGCATATGCCGATGACATCATTGCCACCTGAGGGCCCGAACTCTGGTCTTGGCAGGTAAAAGCCTTTCGGGTCACCTTACATTGGGGTTCTTGCTTTAGATGCATATTTATGTAATGATTGCTAGATGGCTGTAATTACATGACTGTAAAGCACCACCTAAAATGCACTAGTAATAAATTCTTAATAGCTAATGCTATAACAAGCAGTTACAAAAAATATATCATAACATGCAGATTGTTAACAGTGGCTGGGCCTGTTTAACGCTCAGTTTTAAATAGTTAACAATGCACACTATTAAAACGGCATGTAAAATTTGTAACTAGTAAATAAAAGGTCCGATTCAGCAACAAAATACAACCAAGCTTCAGTGGTAAAGAAGCCACAGAAAAGCTTGGGGTGGATGAGCCATCTCCTCTTATCTGCAGCACTCTTCTGGTGGTACTACCTATCAGCCATAGTTTCTGCAAAGCATACTGCATGTGCCCTTACCCTGCATGGTGTCCTCTCTGTCTTGCCTCAGAAACATGATTAGGAGCCCATTTATGTTACAAAAATGCAACTCTGTCCAGAAAACCCTTAGTTTTGCATTCCATGAGTAAGGGGTGGGTCAGGCCATTTAGCTGCCCATAATTTTACCTTCTCTTACACAGTCAAAGCTGCAGTGTGGGCAATATTTCTATAGAGAGGATTTCCTGTGGCTAAAGAATAAAATAAATATACATGCAAGACCAAGAAAAATGAGCAAAATCAGCAGGTGGCCTGGTTTTGCACGTTTGGTACAACATTGCTGCACATGAAAGGATGGCTGCTTCTGTCCAGCCAGCACCAGGAGCCACACACATGGATGGCAAATACAAGTGTACTAATCAGCTAATGACAAGAGAATGTTTTACAGACAAAAGTGAGGCCACCCTGCCTTGGGGCCGGCATGACTATGTACATCCTGAAAGAGTCAAGGCTCTTGCCTTGACTGTCAAGTAAGGTCTGAGCCCTGCTGGCTGGCCCACAGACTTGCTATGAAGAAATTAGACATTTTTGAGGCTTCTGAGGCCTGGCAGCCTGAAACATCATTGGAAGCTGTGGTAAGTTCAGCATATTTGAGAACCAGGATGGGCTGATTAATTTCTTCCTTACATCTGAGTAGTGCTTTGCATCAGAAATTTGATTTGCTTGGATGTCCCACAGAGGAAAATTCTACTTGGACAGAGGAGAGGTGTCATGATCCCTCTTCCACTTAGGGCAGAAAATTTGGTACCAATGCAATACTGAGGGGAAAACCCCCTATCAGATAGTTGCGTTTCCTTGTGCTCCTCAAAGCTTCCTGATACAGAGATTAGTCTACTCCTCAGCACAGGAGCTGCATCATGGTCTGTAGAAAGGAAGTCCACCTAAATGGATTTTGCCAAGTCACACCAAGTGGGTGCCTTACCCTAAATGTATAGCTGAGTTAAAGTTGTGGGTCTGGAAGCCCCTACTAAATTTGGAAGTGCTGTTCAGATTACATCCTCCAGCTGCTGGAGAGATTTTCTTACAAACAGTTGGCTACTCAAATACTTCGTGCCTCCATGAAAACTGCCTCTATCTCAGCTTTCAAGTCCAGCCAGCCCTACCTCAGTCATCGCTGTATTTGATTCATACTATCTATATCCTAGAACGCTCCTAGCAATTGATAAATTATGGTTCCAGCGAGACTATCAGGTTAAACATCAAGGAAGAAAGAATGATGACAGTAATACTTGTCATTTGTGCAGAGATGTAGCAACACAAACCCTCTCTAAAACATATGTTATCTTGGAGGAATCTTTCCAAGGGATAGGCTTTCTGAGAAGCATTTATGGCTTTTGAATGCGCGATAGGAATGAACTTGACATGACCTACTTTGGCCAAGCCCTGGGCTTCAGCCTGGTCTTTTACCACCACAAATCAGCCTATTTGAAGTGCAGTCAGACTGATATCTTCACTGAGATGACAAGGTTACAGCACATACTGGCTTGAGAAAAGCAGGATGTAGAGCATATTGTTCTCAGGATTTAAAAATTCAGAAGTATTTTTACTAAAGCCAGAGGAAAATGGCTATATTTTACCTATACACAAAAGCCAATACAACGACTAGGATGATTAAAATATTCAATACATCATTGAAATGAAAGCACTGACATCCTTACATTATACTCAAATCCCTCCTTTATCTTGGCATTAGAAAATGCAAGGAAAAGCAGAGAATATAAAAGCTTTCTACTAAATATCCTAGACACAAGAGTTGGTTTTTCCTCCTGACTTCCCACAGCATCATACTCCAGGGCTTTGTGTTGTGCCATCTCACCCTTCACACCATCCTCTCAGCTTAATCTCATACCAGTATAATGCCAAACTGTCAAATTACACTGACTTTTGAGTTTGTTCTTGTTTAAATACTGTGGTGTTGGAGAAGTTGAATAAAAGGTGGCACATGTTTCCAAGGACTGAGATACTGGGGCCCTTCCCTCAAGCACAGCACTGAACAGCACTTACGGATAAAGCTGTAGTCACTGAACAAACTGAAAAACAACCAAGGTGTCCACAGTGTATGCAATCCACAGGGGCATTCACTGCTCGGAAGAGAAGAAGCCTGAACAGTCAGGAAGAAGATTCTCTCTGGGGCCTCTTACAGGACCACTTTCCTTTCTTCTTGTGTTAGTCTCCTCTATAAGGAACCATTGACCTGGCTGCTTTCATAGCCTAACTACAGCAAAGGCACTAACCGGCTTCCAGAAAGGCAGCTACAGATGCAGGCATGGCACAGTGATATGTATGGCCTGTGTCATACCCTAGGTCACTGTAGATCAGCAGAATGACCTTCTGCTCTGTGATAGGCTTCTTTGATTGCTATTCTCCTGCTAGTCATAATTAAGGAAATTCTATTACAGAGTTCAGATACAATTACAGTTGTAGTACAAACCAATCCCAAATTAATCTAAATATAATGTTAAATTTCTCCTACGCGATTGAATAATTACTGCAATACAACTCCAGTAGGGCAAAGATCAGGAACATTTCATATGAATATCATTCAGAAACTGGCATTTTAAAATTGTATTGCTCATTCATACGACACACATCACAGAAACAGATCCCTTACAAAACGTGGGTATAGAAGAATTGAGCTGAGATCATTAAAAATGTATTTAAAAATGAAGAACAACCACATTATTACATATAATTATTTTCCTTTCACACTAATTTGTTTTAATCTATTCATGCTCCTTATAAAACATTGCACAAAATTTTAATCGTAGCATTGTTTTCCTTAAATATGTGCATTTCAGTAAATGACACTTGCATGTATAAATTTAGTGAGTTAAAACATTAAGCTGGTGTTAGAACTGAGCAGTCATTTACTCAGGAAAAAATTGCCTTGTTTTCATGTCTGTGAATTTTCTATGGAAAGCTATTATTTTTTTCAGTGTATTCATTATTCAACATATTAGTTGAATAGTCCTACAGAGACTTTTCTGCTTTTGAATCATTCACAGCCTGTTAGTTCCAATTATTTCACATTTGAAATCTGAACCCCAGTCCTTCCTTTTTATTGGACAGAGTTTACATGAACTGATACTATTCTCCACGAATAAAAATAATGTGACCAGAATGCAGATTAGATGTTTTGTACACGGCATCAGCAGTTCATGTCTGTGTTTCAACAGAAGTAAATTTCTCAGCTATAATACAAGATCAATGTGAGCACAAGCTGAAAGTCATCTAAAGACAATTCCAAGAAGCACACCTGTCTTACGAAGACCGTAATTCTACAACTTTCAATATCCAACAAACAAACAAACAAAAACCCCCAACAACTCTGAAGAAGCACTTTTCCCAAGGTGTGCTGTACCTCAGTTGTCCATCCAGCTGTTACAGGGATGGAGTTACGAACCTGGAGAGCACAGCTCCCACAAGGGCAGGGCGAGTAAGTTGCTGCCTGTCCCTCCCCAGCTGAAAGACACAACATTACCAGGGCTTTTGGGCAGTACCCATAAAAGTGTTTCTCCACTCCCATGAGGCTTAGGAAAACAAGGCTGACAGCAGCCTTCAGTCCTGAAAATCAAAGTATTTATATGGTGGAGAGGGTGAGTACTAAATAAGAGAAAAACCCAAAACAATTGAAAGCAGTTTTGTAGGGAGTAAGTGCCTGCCCTAGCGTGGTCATTAGCCACACTGCAAAGAATGAGATAGATACATCAAAAAGGGGAATATTTGCTGCAGATATTACGAGGCGGGAAGGAGGCTGTTATTCTTGAAAGTATTTAAGGAACTCGCAGATGGCCTTACAGACAGGACACAGGAAATGGAAGTCCCATTTCTGCTGCAGACTTCCTATATGGGATCAGAGAAATCATGCCTGAGATTACAGACACAGTAGAACTGGGGTGGTGAGTGTGAAATCAGCTACCAAAATCAATAGGAGATGTCCATTCCAGTATGGGAATTCCTCCATGCCTCCTCTTGTATAAAGCCATCCAAAATGGGCAAGAACATCTGCTTTTGTTTTCACAGTAAAAGTTGACACTGGAGGAGATATGCACATTTGGGAGGCAAGCACATTTCACAGTAGAGCTTTTTGTAATACAAGCAATACAAAACTATCCTGGGAACATCATTATTTGGTGAAAGTTTACTGTATTTAAGAGGACAAGGCTGCCTGGGAAGGTAGCAGAACAAGGTATACCAAAACAGCAGAGTCTCTCTTGGCAGCTGGGCCACAAGGCAAACCACCCCCAGTGTATGGCAGATGGGTGGCTTCTAGTCAGCATTCAGTGGCCTAACACTGACAAGACAGCCACCGCTTCCCTCCATTTCTGTGAGCATTTCAGGGACTTAGTTGCTCCATTTCTCTTTCAGCAAAACTATGCATTGATATAAAGGTGCAATGAGCTGCCAGGGCAGGCTAGTTTCTCCCTGTCTTTGTGCATGCAAACCCAAGTATTTTTAGACAAAATTACACCAAAAGGTGAACTTTGGGCTAGTGAACGTACCTTGATGGGAAACCAGGAAAACCTTTCACCACAGTAGTGTTTGGAAAGAAATTGTCAGTAGGAGTGCTTGAACATGATAGAGATGTTCAGCAAAAAGATGGAAGATTTCAGGTTTGCTGTCCTGGACTGTTCTACCCCAAACCATCCCTCTAATTGTTTATGCAAAAGTCATTCAAGTAGACAGTTCCAGAGCAAGACTTTGATTCAGTGGCTACAACTTCACCTATGTCCTAAACAGATGCTTCTGTTCTAAAGCTGCATGAGTTGACGGACTTCCTAATATCTCTGTAATGCAGATGCTTGACTAATGTTTAGAACATAGAAGAAGAAATGCTTTCTTAAAACAGAACTCTGGTAAAAATAGAATTTCTATTCCCCTCTTAAAAAATCCTCCCAGCAGTTCAAATCTGTATGTAACAGAAGGAACTACTATTTCAAAAGAGATGTCCCACGTGGGAACAGACATAAACTGAAGCCTAAAAAAGTGGTTTTTCTTGTAACTGAAGCACTTATTTCAAGATCAGAAATGGGATTGCTCTTGGAGGGGGCAGAGAGGAGAGCAAATGAAACAACCTGTGAACAGGTTAATGCTCATATGAATGGCAGCTGGAATCACTGTAACTTACTCAGGTAGATCTTTTCCTACAATGAACATTGTTCATGAGGACAAATATGACTGGTATCACAGTATCACAGTATGCTGGAGATTGGAAGGGACCTCAAAAGATCATCTAGTCCAATCCCCCTGCCAGAGCAGGAACACCTAGATAACGTTACACAGGAATGTGTCCAGGCGGGCTTTGAATGTCTCCAGGGAAAGAGTCCACAACCTCCCTGGGCAGCCTGTTCCAGTGTTCCGTCACCCTCACTGAGAAGAAGTTCCTTCTCAAGTTTAAGTGGAACCTCTTGTGTTCCAGTTTGCACCCATTACCCCTTGTCCTATCATTGTTTGCCACTGAGTAGAGCCTGGCTCCATCCTCGTGACACTCCCCCTTTATATATTTATAGACACTTATAAGGTCACCCCTCAGTCTCCTCTTCTCTAAACTATAAAGACCCAGCTCCCTCAGTCTTTCCTCATAAGGGAGATGCTCCACTCCCTTAATCATCTTGGTTGCCCTGCGCTGGACTCTCTCCAGCAGCTCCCTGTCCTTCTTGAACTGAGGGGCCCAGAACTGGACACAATATTCCAGATGGGGTCTCACCAGGGCAGAGTAGAGGGGAAGGAGGACCTCTCTCGACCTACTAACCACCGCCCTTCTAATACACCCCAGGATGCCATTGGCCTTCTTAGCCACAAGGGCACAGTGTTGGCTCATGGTCATCCTGTCGTCCACTAGGACCCCCAGGTCCCTCTCCCCTACACTGCTCTCTAGCAGGTCGTTCCCCAACCTATACTGGAACCTGGGGTTGTTCCTGCCCAGATGCAGGACTCTACACTTTCCCTTGTTATATTTCATCCCGTTATTCCCTGCCCAACTCTCCAGCCTGTCCAGGTCTCGCTGGATGGCAGCACAGCCTTCTGGCGTGTCAGCCACTCCTCCCAGCTTAGTGTCATCAGCAAACTTGCTGATAGTACACTCAATTCCCTCATCTAAATCATTGATGAATATATTAAATAATACTGGTCCCAGTACTGACCCTTGAGGCACTCCACTAGTTACAGGCCTCCAACTAGACTCAGCCCCATAGACTACAACTCTCTGGCTTCTCTCCTTCAGCCAGTTCGCAGTCCACCTCACTACCTGGTCATCCAGTCCACACTTCCTCAATTTAGCCGTGAGGATGCTGTGAGAGACTGTGTCAAAGGCTTTGCTGAAGTCAAGGTAGACCACATCCACCGCTCTGCCATCATCCATCCACCGTGTTATTTCCTCATAAAAGGCTAAGAGATTGGTCAAACATGATTTCCCCCTGGTGAAGCCATGTTGACTGCCCCTCATAACCCTCTTATCCTTGATATGCTTTAAGATGGCACCAAGGACAAGGTGTTCCATCACTTTCCCAGGGATGGAGGTGAGGCTGACCGGTCTATAGTTACCCGGGTCCTCCTTCCTGCCCTTTTTGAAGACCGGAGTGACATTTGCCTTCCTCCAGTCCTCAGGCACCTCTCCCGTTTCCCAAGACTTGGTAAAGATGATGGCGAGTGGTCTAGCAATGACTTCCGCCAGTTCCCTCAGCACCCGCGGGTGCATCCCATCTGGACCCATGGATTTATGGACGTCCAGATTGCTCAACTGATCTCTAACCCATTCCTCATCGACTAAGGCAAGTCGCTCCGTCGACCTGACTTCATCTAAGGTCTCAGGGGTATAGGGCTCTTCAGGACTGCCTGCAGCAGAGTAGACAGAGACAAAGAAGGCATTCAGTAACTCTGCCATCTCTGCATCTTCTGTCACCAGGGCACCCATCCCGTTCATCAGTGGGCCTACATTGCCTCTGGTGTTAGTTTTGTCTGCCATGTACTTGAAAAAGCTCTTTTTGCTGTCCTTGACCCTTCTTGCCAGGTTTAATTCTAAGGAAGCCTTAGTCCTCCTAGCTGCCTTCCTACATCCCCTAGCAGCAGCCTTATATTCCTCCCAAGTGGCCAGCCCCTCCTTATGACCTGTAAACTCTCCTCTTCCACTTGAGCATACCCAGCAATTCCCTAATTAGCCACACAGGTCTCTTGGCCCTCTTCCTTGACTTCCTACGTGTCGGGATGCTCCGATCTTGAGCACGGAAAAAGCAGTCCTTGAATGTCAACCAACTATCTTGGGCCCCTTTTCCTTCAAGCAGCCTTGCCCATGGGATTTTCCCTAGCAATTGCTTGAAAAGGCCAAAGTTTGCCCTGCTAAAGTCCAGGGTTGCAATTCTACTTGGTATCCTACTAGTCCTACCACACAAGATCCTGAACTTCACCATCTCGTGGTCGCTGCAACCAAGGCAGCCCTCTACCCTTACTGCTTCAACCAGACCCTCCTTGTTAGTGAGGATGAGATCCAGCAGCGCTCCTCTCCTGGTCGGCTCATCCACCATTTGCAGGAGGAAGTTATCATCCACACACTGGAGGAACCTCCTGGACTGCGGCTGGGTTGCCGAGTGGTCCTTCCAGCAAACATCAGGGAAGTTAAAATCCCCCATGACGACCACGGCCTGTGACTGTGAGGCCTCTCTCAGCTGCCTGTAGAAGGCCTCGTCAACTTCCTCACCCTGATCTGGTGGTCTGTAACAGACACCTACAACAGTATCCCCCCTGCCAGCCTGCCCCTTAATTCTCACCCACAGACTCTCAACTCGCTCATCATCTGTCCCCAGACAGAACTCGGTTTCCTCCCGCACATAAAGAGCAACCCCACCACCCCGCCTGGCTGGCCTGTCTTTCCTAAAAAGGACATAGCCCTCCATGACTATATTCCAGTCATGTGAGCTGTCCCACCAAGTCTCTGTAATTGCCACCAGATCATAGTCTCCTGACTTAACACAGGTAACTCCTGACTGGTAACTGCTACTGGAAAGAATCAAAATACTCCTTACAGAGTTTCCCTGTTGAAGCTGACAACTAAGAGCTTACCAGTGAGTAAGATTTTTCATGACCAAATGCTACATTTGTAGCTACATTTACCCAACATTTCCTGCAGCATTACCTCTTTCTACAGGAAAGCAGAACTCAAACTGGCATATCGAGAGCTGGGCTGCTCCACTGCAATAACAACAGTGTCTACAATTCCACATAGTATGAACTTTCCCACTTCCTATAAAAAAATATAATCTTTAAAAATATAATTATGAACTTTTAATCAAGAGTTTGTCATACCTAGAAAGAGAAGTTGGGCAGTCAGGTCAAAATAAGCCACCTTAGGCCTTGAGCCTCGTAGTTTGCAAAAGCTTTCGCTTCCGATTTACCATAATAATGTAAAACCTTATTTTAGAAGCACAGGCATTGAAATCACAGCATGGGACTATGAGCCACTGGATTGTCATTGTTTAGATTGCAACAGTATTCCCAAGTCCAGCTGTGGCCTCTGCTGTGATAAGCTGTCAATGCACAAGAGAAAGACACCATCAGCCCCTGAGGTTGCCCTCTCACTTGCTGTGAGCCACTGTAACTGTGGGCAAGCTTTGTGAGGGGATAGGGGAAGGCAAGAGGAAGAGAGGGCCATCTCAGAGATGCCTCTGGCTTGCTGTGAATGTCTGCCCTCCACCCTTCAGGATGGCCTGGTACACCCTGTGCAGCGGGGACTTGCTGCACCCCAGGATAAGGAGTACATCAAGCCGGACGCCTGGCAGCTGGAGCCATCCTGGAACGCTGTCCCTGGAGGAGCTGCGGTGCCTGCTCTGGAAACACATCCCCTCCACAGGGCACGTGGATGAAGTCTGGCCAAACCTTTACCTGGGAGACCTGTAAGAGAGAGGGAAGGGTTGAAGGTGTTAATGCAACTCTTAATTCCCACCCAATTCTCCTTCACTTCATCCCCAACCCCCACCCCCCCCCCGAGTCTTTCACTCTGTGGAAAGTAAGTCCAAGTGTTGAGCAAGCCTGGACTGTGCATAGGATGCTGTAGCATAGAGAAAAGGCATCCTATCTGAAAAGAGTATTTCCTCTCCAGATTTCTCCTCCTCCATTAGTACTGAAGTCCCACACTACAAAAGCCTAGTGGGGCCATGGCACCAGTACTCAAGGCCATCATGCCAGAGGTAGGTAAAACAAGTTCAGCCTCATTTCTCCTCACACTAACAGATGGCATCAGTCCCCTGAACTGATGGATGCTCAGCAGAGGTGAGTTGTTGAGAAGGCAAACCAGAAAACTCTTGGCTTATGGAGAAATATCACAAGCACCAGCACCTTTTTATTTTTCATCAGTTGAGAAGAGCCACCTAAGCTGGCGTTTGGGAGAAATCCACAGGAAATCTGAAAATCAATTTCTTAATGGGTCATTTCCGTCTTGAACCGTTTTGGTGGACAGTTTGGACCTGATGAACCTGTCAGAAAATAGCCACTAGAGCTTCATGCAGTTTGTAACAAACTGCACGATCAGCAGCATGTTCTACCCTTCGTCATGCAGCGGGTGAATATAACCAACTGTCTTTCTTCCAGGCACATCGCTCGTGACAAAGAGCAGCTGAGCCGAATGGGCATCTCCCATGTTGTGAATGCCATTGGCAGGCGATCTCACATCAACACTGGACCCGAGTTCTACAAAGACCTGCCTGTGGATTACTATGGAGTAGAAGCGGAGGACAACCCAAACTTTGATCTCAGCATTTACTTCTACCCAGTTGCTCAACACATAAAAGCAGCGCTGAATTCCCCAAGAGGTAACTAGACCATCTGTGCATGTTGTGTATCTTCTGCATAGCAGCCATGTAGGGCAAGTTATCAAACAGTATTTGGCATAACCACCTGCAGATACAGGTAAGAATACCTTCGTTTGGGGATCTCCCAAATTAGCATCACACCTGCCTCCTGAACTGCCACAGAGTGGAAGTTCCCTTGTTCCCCTGAAACAAGGAAGGATGCACTGACAAGGCTTTCAAAGGGGCTTTCCATATGCCTAGTGCTATTGCTTAGCAAAAAAAACCCACCAAAATAGCAAGTATGTTTTATTATCTCTAGGGAAACACTGACCTGGGAGGAGACACATAGAGTTGATCTTTTCAAAGTAGCGATGGGGTTTAAAATACAGGCTAGGATGGGGTAAAAAGAGAAGGGCAAGTATCATACTTGAATAAGAGTCAACTATAATGCTGTGCAAGTCCCGCAAACACAGGATAGGGCAGAACTTGCTGGGAAGCAGTCCTGTAGAAGAGGACCTAAGCAACACCACCAGCCAGGAGATAATGCTATTGCTAGAGAGCATATAACCTTGGAATAGGAAAATAGCCTGCAAAAGCCTTGGACTTGCTAAACACAGGCCAAGTACAATACCAGAGGCCTGGAGGTAGTGGGGGATCTTATTATTAAGGACAAACCTTGGCAAAAGTCTCCACTGTGTCTCAAAACTGTACAGATACCCACTCAGACATGATTTATTAAGAGAACAGCTGTGCACTCAAACTGTTTTGCTTGCATCATGGTGAGCTTCAAAATCAATGAGAGTCCTAAACCACTAGCTACCCAGGTTAATCATGTGCAACTAGCAGAGCCGATCCATACCACACAAGCTAGGAAAGGGGGACACAATAGTGAAAAGTAGTGTGCCTCTGTGCTAGATGCCTCAGCTTTTACTGCTGTTTGGAGGGCTTAATCCATCCCATTAGACAGTATTTACCTTGATGCAACTGAGGGCTACATTTGGATTTCAAAACCACTAACATGTTTGGGGAACTTGGATCTGCACCCATTTCTATCGCTATTTGCAACTGAAGAAATTATTGTTGGTGCTCCAGAGAAAGGTAAGATCCAAATCTATTAATGCATGTGTAAGAAAAAAAAATGTTCCAAATCAATTGATAAAAGACAGAAAACACAGATGAATCCTGGTGGCCACAAAAGCAAACAAAACCAGTCCTTGGCAAGATGGTTGCCAGATACTGAAAGTTATGAGTGCAGAAGAAGTTAGGGCTCAAGGCATATTTATCCCTACTTCCCTGCTTTTAGATATTACTTTACTGAACTCCATATGGAAGCAGGGTTCTCGGAATGGAGACAAGGTGAAATTTAATCATACATAGTCCAGCTGTTGCTGACATTCATCATTTTAAGGGAAGTGCAACAGTTTAGAAAATATATAAACAAGATGTTCTGGAAGCATAATTTTCTGAGCTACAGAAATTTAGCAGCTAAATACCCATGACCTGTGCAGGGATGAGACAGGGAGGGGATTGTTACTCACATCATTTAGAAGAAAAGAAAAAATAGCATTTATTATAAGGAGTGATGCTGAACAAAAAATGATACCAGGTGACAAGAGGCCTGTTCATATTAAATTCAGGATGTAACAAGGTACTTCTGTTTGATTGAGAAGTCATTTAAAACTGCTTCTTAACTATTACAAACAAATTTAACATTTTTTTTTAATGCAATTATGTTATCTTTTTCACCTGGGAGGATAAGTCAAAGTTAAGACTGTATGCAGCACAAGCATACTTAAAACTCGTTAGAATCAAATACTCGTTAGAATTAAGTAAGAATCATTACTCCTATCGCACTTGAAGAAAAAATCTGATGCCTTATACCAGAAGTCCAGAAAACAGCTTGGTCAGATTTATTGCATATTTCCAGCTTAGCTGAACAGAATGTGTCTTTGGTGATATAAGGAATTTTTTTTTAAGGGAATTTCTTCAAACCTGGATGCCAGAGCATGAGCAAAAGGAAGCAGAGGAGCACGCACCCACATGCTCCTGATTGGGAGTTATTCCTTTACAGTGGTTAGTGGCTGCCTCATACCCTGAATGACTTCCTTCATCATCTTTGTGATACAGACTAAGAAATACATGCACTACAATTGCAGCCATACCATATAATCATTATTTTATGAAACCTGCTTCCTCGGCTGCCTTTCCTTCAGCACAGCCCTGCTGTTCTTTTGCCCACCTAACGGAGCTGTTTGGGAAGGCCCAGCCAAGAGCAAGCAGATACGCAATCTGCCCTCTTCTCTGCAAGGAAATCACAGACAGGGAAGTACTGGCCTTCTCCCTCATGCTCATGCTCAAGGGGCAACAACTTGAATACCAATCTTGCCATTTTGCACGGCCGTCTGTACAACCTGCTTTTTTCTGGAGCGCAGCTAAACCTAAGCTTAAATTAGGAGGGTTTGGTAAAGTCTAGTGGAAGAGGGAGGGAGAGAGAACTTGAGAGCATACATGAAAGCACACCATGAAAATTATTAAACTAACACCATCCAGAGAGACAGATTCTGAAGTAGACAGCTTCTCCTTTTACTGACCTTCGAACATGTTTACAACAGGCAAGTTAAAATCATCCATTAAATTCCTGAAATGGCAAACCCTCTCAGAGGCATCTCCTTCTTCCACTTCACCAAAGAAAATCAAAAGCCAGGCTTCCTCTCCTGCTGCCTTCTTGGTGGTAGTGATTATGAAAGAACCTGAACTTAGGAGAAGAAGGCTCCCCTCTCTTGACTCTGCTGCAGGAGCATCACATACTTCAGTTTGACCTCCCACACTCCAGCAGGTGACAGCCCTTACCTGTTCCAGGAGGCGTAGGAAGAAGGGACACGGCACCACTTAGATCTCTCTGTAGGCTGCTTGCTATTTTCAGCTGTGACACAATAGACACTTGAATAATCAAGAAAAAGACAATTGATTCTGCACCTGGCTACAGGATGGTGGCTAAAAGGTAACAGGAGATGAGAAAACCACAGTGGAGCAGGAAGAGCCCCTGGGGCCCTCCAAGCCCACCTGAGCTCTCCTCCTGGTGAGCAGCATAATTCTGCTGGATTCAATGGAATGAGGGTAGCTGGGGTGCTCACTCCAGATGACAGATCTCGAGCCTGGTCTTATGCCAAATCGAATCCATGCTGCAATAAAGCAAAGGCTAGCTCAGGACATTTAGCTCAGTTAATGATGAGTGCAAAAGAACAATAAGATATTATGCTTTTTAATGACTGATTTGTTCAACAACATTGAATTTCCCAACTTGAATTTGGCCAACAAACTTGAATGTGCAAACTTTATCCCTAGTGCAAACCATTTGATGTCAGTGGAGTTACAGCAAGCATGAGCTGGATATAATATCCATAATCCGTTGTTAAAAACCAAGTGTTATTGTTCTGCACAAATCCCAGGCAGATGACAGTTATTGTCTGCCTCTGCTAAATGCAGCTTGAGATGTGCAATGCAAAATTTCAAGTAAGGATTGCAAGATTTAATAATGGCAGAAGCTAAGTGCCCCCACTTCTCTTTAGTTAATCCCATTATTCCTAAGGGATCCTGTTACACGCTCAGAGAGAAGGTTGCAACATGGCCCTCTAATGTGGGATCAGTCCAACTTCTCTTTGCACTGTATGTTAAAACAAATGGGGACAGGGAAGGCACAGTTGGAGAATGCTATGCTCGCGGCATAGATTGTGTGGTACAGAAGATGTGGTTATAACTTCCTTGCCCACCCCATGACAGGGGTATGCACCACGACTGCCTCTGCGAATGCTGCTTTCCCAGGCTGTGGTCCAGCAGCCACCCGGGAACCCGAGCCTCCCGTGAGAGGCTGATGCCACACATGTTACCAAGCCCACTGCAGACAGCCCACATGGTGCAGACATGCTTCAGGCGCTCGTCAAATGCAGTATATCATGGTGGGTTCAGAGTGTCACTTAACCCATTTACAGATACTGCTAAGAGACAAGGGCCTGAGCCTGTAAACAGAACCAAACAGCAACACAGCTTTTGTTTCCTGACTCAAGTTTAACATTCAGTTTGTTTGCTACAAATAATCACATAGTAAATTCAAATCTGCTTTCATTAGAGCAATTTTACATTAATTAAATCATTTCACATGACTGATTTATCTGTAACAAACAGTCATTTTATTGTCAGTGTACCAGCATTTATTGTAACCTCTGTGCATGGTGAAACAAAGGCTAACAATGTGGAATAGATTCTGCACGTGTGAAAAAGATAATATACCTGCATCCTCATGGGAACCAGTGTCTTAGAGAGCCATGCAGATAAGATTCAAGGTCAATAGTTGGGGCTTGTCCAGGTGTTGATCTAGGAGAACTCTCTTGAAGTGAAGATAAGCTAGAGATGCAAGGAAGAAAATTCAGTGTGCTCTTACTCACCACCTCCTGCTCCCAGATACAGAGCTAGATATAAACCATTAGAGAGCCAGCCTATACAAGCAGGGGCTTGGAATTTATTCTGCTTTCTGTGCCCCTAACAAAACCACTCAGCAGCAGCATCCTTATCTGTACTCAGCTCCATCTTCAGTTCCAGACTGCAGGTGGTGCCGAGCATTTCCCAAGGCAGAAAGCTCCATCTGGGTGGAAAAAAAATGGACCCAACAACAACTTTACAGAAATGAGGTTCAGGACAAGTGTCCTGTCCCCTGTCCAATTTCCAGCCAAACAGATTCAATTTTGAAATATTTACTGACTCAAAATCAAATCCAACATCAAGACCATCCCTTTCTGTTGTTTTTTCTTTGTCTCCCCTCCCTTCCTGGTGCAGTTGTAGAGTGTGGGCAGCTTAGAGATTTTCAGACCAGCCCCTGGCACTATGTTGCAGTCAGGCTTACTGCAGACTAGTGAAGCATGCATTTTCCAAAGACTTTTTGGTCTCAGCCCTATTCACAGTATTTGTCAAAGAGACATTCTGCTCCTGGTTTCTTTACCAGGAAAATCTCAGGACTGGGTTATTTGGGTCTGAAGTGCCTCCTCTGGGGAAGGTAATTCGACATCCATATCCCACGAGGCTGATGTGAAGGCTAATGAAAAACATTGAAAGCACACTGAAAAAAAGTCTAGTGAAAATTCAAATTAGCATTATCTTTAGCAGGGGTGCAAAGCTTTTCTCCACACTGCCATGAAAAGTAGGACTTCACTTCCAAGAATCCCCATGGAGTTAATGGCAGTAAATTGTATCTCAGTAAAATCCTGTGAAGCTGTATCTGAATAGGAAAACACAAACAGAAATCACTTGATCTTCTAATTCTGCAAAACTGACATGATGCTGGAAAACCCTTTTCCTTCCCCCAAAGGTTTTGACACCCAGTCCAGTCTGCTATCACAGGAGCTGTTTTCGCTGCTTCCTTGGTGACTATATTTGTCCCTTTATTTCTACTGAAGACATGTCTATCTTTAGGGCTGAGCTCAGATTTCTCATGCCAGGATAATGAAAGGTGGCTGTGTCACATACATTGTGGAATTCAACACTTCCCTCAACCTGCTGGCCAGAGCAGGTTTTCACAACACATGCTCGTGCTCTCTGAGCATGTGGCTATGCCATCATCATTAGTCAGAACTGGAGCAGTTGCTAAATAAATACCCTGTCACAAACAAAATGGGATTTAAGATTAAAAGCTGGGCACAAAGTACCCAGAATTAACACCCAGGAAGATGGGGGCAATCAGTCTGAGGGTTTTGGCTGGATCTAGGCTTATCATCCAACAAGGGTATTTTTGTCTCACTCACTGCTAATAGAGAAATTAAGATGCTGTAAGCACAAACAAAACAAGGAATTAGCCCAGAAAAACTACCCATTCTTTGCACCCTTCCTCACATTTTAGAGAGAAGCAGCTTCTGAGACCCTTTATTCCATGTCCAAAGGGAAAAAAACAACCTGGGATGATTATTACCGATTTTCATTTTTTTCTGGATATAAATTGTGTTGTTGTTAAATTGCATTTGCTGCAGCTTTACAGTTGGTAAATGAGAGACCACAAATGTGACAGGCTAAAAAAACAAAGATAAAAAAAAAAAAAAGGCAGAAAAATCTTTGTTTCAGACTAGGGAAGATTGCCAGTCAAAAGGGTCCTGGTGTCTCCATGCTAAGACGACAACATTTTCATTCAGCTGCCTTAATGGGTGACAGAACTGTCCATTAGGTGGTCAGAAGTTCAAACCTGAGTCTAGTCTCTGTTAGTTTAATAATGCCCAGTTGCTGAGCTATGGGCTCTGTGAAAAGCCTAGATGTGACTGCAGAAAGGAAAGAGTTTTTTCAGGCATGGCTATAATTGAGCCGAAAATCAGAATTCTCTTTTTTCCAATTAAAGATTTCTCATTGGATCATACCTTTTTGTGAAGCTTGAATCATTTCACAACGTGTACAAGATGCAGGTTTTCATGTTCCAGAATGAGCTCTTTGTTCACATGCAGAGGGAAAGAACTACAAACTTGATCTTTTCTTCTGACAAAATTTCCTTTAATTTCACGTAAGACCATTTTAAAAAGTGTTTACCTCCTTCCAGCACGGGTCAGACACACATTAGACACCAGGAAGCAGTCATGATACAGACCTGCATTTCTCAGGCTGCTTCCATTAGCAATCACAGCAGAAAAAAGGAAAGCAAAGGAGACAGAAGGAGGGAGATATACTCTTATATCCCTGGAAGGTCTTCCCTGAAGCTCGCTCACAGCAACATGGGAGGACTCATGGTATTACTCTTAATGAAGATCCAGACCTCACACTGAAATCTCTGGGGAACTGGAGGCATGTCATGAATTGTTTCTCTAGTGATCACCTAATACAGAAGGGATTAGGTGATCATTAGGCATTAGGGAAGCATAGTGACTAGAGATGTACCGGGTAAGCTATAAAAATAAAAACCCATGAGCTGATGCAAATGGCACATACAAAGAGGAACGGTTCTTAATGGTACACACTTCCAACAAGGTCTGGGCAGCAGTGAGCACCCTCAGAAAGCATAAAGCATTACTACCCTAGGCAAAGAATTAAAAAGAGCTTGGGGAAAAAAAAACAGGAGTATTCCTGTAATAACAGCAAGCACTCCTGAGCACTTTTGAAATCCCAAGTTTCCAGGCCTACCGGTAGGAAGTAACCCGCCAAGGCTGCTTCCCATAGCATGGCCTTCAATTATGACAACTCGAAACTTTGCTAGCAAGCACATCACTCCCCAAACCACATGTGCAGGGGCACCATAGATGCAGGCTGGGCAGGAGGATGAAGGGCATGCCATCAGGCTGATAGATAAGCCCAAATATGGATCCCGGAATACAGCTACGAATTTTCTGTTCTCAGCCATTAAAAAATGCATTGTTCTCCAACCAGCACTGCCCCAGGTCTGCTCTGCAGGGCTGAGCACACTGGCTGGCTCGCTCAGCCTCAGTGTCAGCACCACTTCCATCTCTGCTCCAGCACAATAAACCCCACCATTTGGCCTCCTGGCATAATCCCATCTCTCTCTCGTTTTTTCCAGGCAAAGTACTAGTTCACTGCGGAATGGGAATCAGTCGATCTGCAACTCTTGTCCTCGCTTTCTTAATGATCTGTGAAGATATGTCCCTTGCTGATGCAATTCAGACTGTGCGTTCACACAGAGGGATCTGCCCCAACTCCGGCTTCCTCAAGCAGCTTTGGGAGTTGGATCTCCGGTTAGGAAGGAGGCAAGGCAGAAGAGCAGCACTCTGCTAGTGCCAAGGGGACATGGCTTTTGGCACCATACTGAGAGATGCTGCCCTCACTGAAGACAATGCAAGGATGCTGTTAAGACTACTCCATCCATAGCTGCTGCACTAAGAAACACCCTGGGAGATGGCTGAGCATGTACAAGCTCATAGGAATTTAGTATGTGTTTTTTGGATAAGCCTACTAATTAGAAAGAAAATGAAATAAAAAAGGATTCAAACTGGCAGTTTTGCCCACCTGGGCCTTATTATTTAACTACCTGTTGGGCAGGGCATAGGGAGCAGTTGAGTTTTCATGCAGAATTAAAAGGCACTACAGTCAACTTAAAAAAAGACTTTTTACTTGCTTAAAATTGCATTTATAATGCAAGAGGGAAAATGGCTAAACTAGTAAAAAGAGAAAGAAAGTATGAGGGTTTTCAGCAAATCTTTAACATTTCACATCCAGCTGGCTTAGGGTGAGACTTCAGGTTTTGCAAGCTGACATGCTCCTTTAGTCTGACACAGTGACACTAGTCAGGATCCAGCTCAGACCTTGGGCTCCCACTTTAAAAGCCATGGAGGCTCTTTCTGGGACCTCCACACGTCCTTTTATTTCAAATGTATGGCAAACACTCAGAACTTAAAAAGACCATGAAATCCTCAGGAGCCGACACTGGAGGTCCCAGCCAGATGCTGCACCCTGGGGCATGGCTATCACCAGCCTCACTGCTGGTCAAGAGGGAAGGAAGGTGGCCCCTTGCAAAGCAGGGGGCACGCTCAGGGCACGCTGCCCAACGGTGCACTGTGGGGCAGCAGCAGTGCCAGACAAACATCCTCCACTTGGCTTGCAACCAGATGCTCCAAATCACATTCCCCAAATTTCCCTGTTTTAATGGAAAACCAGAACTTAATGTCATTGTGTCAGAGCAAAAATGAGCAATGCCTCTAACAAATCCAAAGCAGCAGCTCTGCATTTCAATTACTCTTTTACGCCCAATTGGCCACATTTAATCTTGTGAAGAACTCTAAGCAGATATTTGCTTCAGTGCAATTACAGCCACATACAGAACATTGGCAAATGCAAACAATATAGAATTTCCACTTGACGGCAGATTAATTTGGTGTGATGTTTTCCCTTGAGAGGTCTTAAAGGCTTGCAGTTCTGAAAGTACCCTGCAGTTTGTATTTATAGCACTACGGATGTTGGATAGAAAGAGAAAATCATATACTCATTCTGAACTGAAGTTTCTTTTGCCTCCATACATTAAAAAAATTAACTGAGCATATCACACTTCCACTGCATTTCTCATAATGCAATATGGAAACATGATTTCCCCGCAGAGCCTATAGAGAAATTCACGTGGTGTTTCCATTTCTCTAAACATAGTAAGTAAAACACAAGCAATGCTAAAGACTTATTTCCTCTCAGGGAACAGAGAGATGGGTCTTCCTTGCAGAAAGGGTCCCATCCCTTGAGGCTGAAGTAAGTGGCCAGAAGGGAGGTCATAGCTATAATGATGGAAAAGAAAGAAAAAAGAAAAACAATCAGTGAACTTATAGATTTCACAGGCCTCTCCCTGGCCACCACAGCAAGGAGATTAGATTTCAGTGAGCATGGTGGTGGAACCACTCCTGGCACTTGAGCCTCCTCCACCTTGGTCTGTCTGGGGATCATTTTTTATCACAGACTACACTGAAGCTGTTTTGCAAGTAGTCTTTTTAGTTGCCTTACTAATCGCTGCCTTCAAGTCTCTGTAACTGAGCCTATGCCAAGCCAAATGGCACTACATTAAAGCAGAAGGAGCATATGAAACACAGCGGTCCAAAATCACTCTGCATTGAGCCCATCAGGACAGGTCATAATTCTCAGCAAGCTGCACATCTGGAAACATCTGTGGTTTGCAGGGTAGAACTTAAAGTGAGTAACTTCTCAGAGTGACCGAGTCTACATTTACCCCAGCTGAGGCCTGCTGGCCACTGCAGGACTATTTCAGCTGGCCATGGACAGCCATAAGTTCCCCTGCCATGTGTGACTTGCAACTGGGAGCAGTAAGTCAGGATGGAGCTGCAGCCTGCTGGGAAAGCCAGGGCACTGGCAAAGCAGGGCTGATGGCTGTATGTCACTGTTTTCACAGGTGGAAGCTTCCTCTTCAACCTGGAAAACCCTGACCAAACAATGAAGAACAAAAGGTCAGAAACACTGTCTCTAAGACAATAAAGTAGCTATTCAAGCCCAGGACAAAAAAATTCCCTTTCTAGAAGAGTCTGAGCTGGTTCCAGATTGCTGTAAATTTCAGACAATGGGAGGCAGGTCCCCCGTGCCTCGTTGCAGTTTCTCCACCCTTCAGCAGATGAGGATACCTGAGCCCACCATCACCTTCCCTCGATGCGAGCGCTGCAGCATCATGGAGGTGGCCTGGCAGGGACACAGGAGCAGGCTCTGTAGCTTATGACAATTAAGCAGTCCTAATTTCCAACCCACATGTATTGCACACTCAAATGGCTTATTGCCCTTGGGCTTAGTTAAGCAAAAGTGTCTTAGAATTACAGCTGGAGTCAACACAAAGAGATTGAAAACAATACTGGGGGTAGTTCCAGGTACACCTTGTGCTGCAATTTCAAGATCCAGAGTTGCTGACTTCTTGCAAGCCACCAGCTTGGCCCAAGAAACAAGGAATAGCTTTTTTCCACCACAGCCATCCCTGCTAACAACACAGCATTTGGCCCTGGCATATAGCTGTCAATTTGCTGCTGCAGTCAGGCAGAAGAAGCCCCACTCAGTCCCCTGCAGGTGTAGGGCCTCTGCTGTAATCACACTTGCCCAGTGCCATAGCTAAATATTACCTGCCAAAAGCAATGTCAGTTGAGATTGCAGGCAGGGTGGAAGTGATCAGAACAGCAGATTCAGATGCATTAATGGACAGAGCAGCGTTGATGTTGCATACTTCTTACCCAGCACAGAGCAAACACTGAGGTTTGTTTACACTTACCCATTGTATGTGCTTATGAAGGAGCAACCTCCTGCACTATGGTGGAGCTGGTGTACTTCCCACACAGTAAGCCTGTGAGGGAGGATGGATGTCTTAGACAAGGCACCTGGAGTTTCCTGAGCTGCAGCAGGATGTTTGGGGAAAAGCACAACAGGAGTGCTCTCCAGCCTCCAGAATTGGCATGAGAGCATGAGAGCAGTTTTCTCACATAAGATATCTTGCCTTCACCAGCTTTTCCTCCCAGACTCTCGGCAATGATAAATATAGAGGATATTGCTGCAGGCACGTCTGCACTGCGTTATTTATCCTTTGGATTTGCACTTGGGGTTTTATTTGTAAAAGGAAAGTGGGACCATAAATCTGCTCTGCAAGGAGCCAAGGGAAGAGAGGACAGAAATTTTCAACAAGTCGCATGGAAAAAGATGATGCCAACGATAGGTTTCCCATGAAAGAAATGTCAGCCAGGATACCCCCCAGGTACCCATGATGTGTAGTGGCAACAGCTAAGAGTGTCAGCCTATTTCTTGCAGGTGCATTAATTCATTCCTCCTTGCCAAGGTAGCTTTGGGGTTGCTGTAGCAAGGATGGCCCTCCTCTGGGACCTTCCTAATTCACAACTTTAGCCCTTTTTGTCTTGCCAAAAAGAGAAAGAGAGGAAGAGAGAGAGAGAGAGAGAAAATCTGAACTGGGACCAGAATAGACTTACAAAGCTGAAAAACTAAGTGTGGCAAAGACTGACTTGTCATGGTTGGGTACCAAGCCTAAGCTGACCACATGACAGAGTAACCATTTTGTTCATGACCTTCAGCATACACACGACCACTCTTTGAGTACAGTATCCTAAGTAACACACAGCACTTGTAGGTGAGGATGGAGGCAAGCAGGCTCACAGGCAGATCCCCTGGTCCTGGTGTTACATTGGCCTGGTTCCACTTGAGGCAGTGGCTCACACTTTTGCTTCAACTTCAGCACTGCTGCCCACGAAGAGCAGGTGACTTTCTTCTGCATAACCCTGATGTCTTGATCAGATCTGCCCTGCTACTGACAGCCCCTCCAGAATTACAAAGCACTGTCAAGTCCACCTGCCACACATAATCCTCCTGTTTTTTCTTGTGTTTTCCCAATAACAAGGCTGATCTACACGTTATTGTGAAGAAAGGCTTATAGCTTGTTGTTTTGCAAATGTACTTGATAGTCTAAGGTTTTAAGAGTATATGGAGCTCCTGAAGCCAAGTCAAACAGGAATCTAGGGCCTGTGAGGCTTTTAACGGTTAAGTTTTCTTTAGGCTACAATTACTTTGCTTAGAAACCAGACCCTTTGATCTGTTGCAGGAGGCTGCAGTTTAATAAAGTCACATAATTTGCTCTTTGCAATGTACTATTTGCAGTACAAGTATCATTGAGTTACACCACTCCCCCTCACTGCTGCCTCCTGGAACCTTGTCTGTTTATATACAAAAAGCACTCTCAGGAAGCAGTCCTAAAAATACCCGGCAATGTTAGCTGAGGACCTGGCTCTGCCTCTCCTCCTCCTGCTTGTGCCTCCATAACATCCTTCCATCATTTTCATGCTCAACAACCCCAGCTGTTCAAGCAACCTTATTCCTGTCTCACCCACTAGAAAAATCATCCTTTTCCTTCCTCCTCTGCCAGTAGCCATTCTCCACCCTGCCACAGAACAACTTCCATGATGTTGCCATGCTATGTCCCATCCAGTGCTTCTCACTTGATCAATAAATCCTAGTGGCTTTATCAAATCCGTGATCACACCTATACGGCTCTGCCCACTTTTCAGGCAATGGGATGGTGCCATGTCAGGGCAAAAATAGGACCAGAAAAAGAATAACATCTTTTACTTTACTTTACTTTATAAAGGGGCATCTGAAGACTGCAAAGCAAGATGCAGTACACTCCGCAGATGAACTTCTGACACCACCCTCACGGAGGTTACAGTGGAGACAAGGATTCTCCCCGTGGAAACACCATTGTGAAGAAAAATATTTTCATTGTAGTACAAATAGAAAATCCACAGGCAAAAATCCAGCCAGGTGACAAAGACACCAGTTATTGAACTTCAGGTGAAATTCAAAAGCAGGTCTGGGATTCAGCTCCCATTTCCCACCTGTCTGTGGCCCAAGGTGTGGGCAGAGCCTCCACTCACACAAGATGCCACCTGCCAAGGGATAGGGTCTTCCAGTTGCTGAGTCTGATCCTGCTTGTTGCCAGTCATCTTCATGATCACAAAGATCTTCTAGTGCACTCTGCAGGCACCCAGCACACACCGAGATACAGCAGCACAAAGGATCCTTGATCCTTCAGTTTGCCCATACATCACCAACTGATTGGAACGTTTCTCTTCTGTAGGTGTTCAGCAGGCAGACCCTGAAAATGAAAGCTCAACAAGTCTGCTGCTGTAGTAGACAAAGATGGTTATTGGTTATTCCCAATGTAAACTCTTCTGAAAGGCAGTTGCTGCTCTACAAGCCCTTTTCTATAAAAGCAAAGCATCTAATTAATCTAATCCCTCCTAATTCAATGATAAATATAATTCATTAATTCATCTGATTATTTAATACCAACAATGAAATAATCACAAAAATTATTTGCCAAAGCCCTGAAGATTTCTTTTGGAGGACCAACAGCTCTTTGACAAAAATTCCCCAAACATGGAAAGCACAGAACTGTAAGCAGTGAGACACTGGTAATTTTTGCACCAAAAACATTTATGTTACTAACAATCAATCGATCAATCAAGAGATCAGTTCTTAACAAAAAACCCACCAGTCCTTGGAAAACCATCAGCCAGCAAAGAGTGAGCAAGGAATTATTTGCTCAGCTCTGGTGACAATTGGCTGTTACTAGAGTTATTCTGACACATTGTTTTGGAGAACATCTGGTTCCACTCTGACTACTTTAACTTTCAGATGTGAAAAACAAAAGCTCATTTTCATGCCACGTCTCCCATCTTCAGTTGGCAACTGTTGTGTGATTATGAAATTATTGGTATGTTGGATGATCTGTCTGTCAGTTTATATTTTCCTATCATATCTATTTTTAGCTGCTCATTAGTATTACTTGGAGCCTCTCCTATAAATCTTAAACATTTATAGCACATCTCGACAATTCATCAAATGGAGCCAACCTCCAAGGAAAGGAAACCCAAACCACTTCCCCCTGCTCAGCTGAATGAGATTCAGATCCTTGTCTTTTAAACTTCAAACTCAACATTTTCCCATCTGCTCTTTATACACAACAGCCCTTTTGCTCTGCACCAATATTTTATTCTCCATTC